ATACGTCGAGCAAAAGCATTCTTCCAGACAACTTCTGCCGTGAAGACCACAATCAGCAAGGCTTGTTCAACTGCTTTCACAAGAGAGCAATCATTTTCAATATTACGCTTTTATCCTAAGTAATTTAAACTTGCTAACACAGCATCGAGATGACGACATCTCGATGCTGTGTTTCTTACTAATGTTTTCAAGGGCAAAATCAATTGTCACTCTACCAATGACACTGTTGGTATCCGTGTGCCTACGAAGCAAATTAGAATACTTTCTACTTTTCCGCGTGAGCAGATCATTAAGACAAAGTCCTTCTGCCAGGTGAGTTACTGCTTCAAATGACTTGTGCAGATCTTTTGACATTTTTGGCAAAAACACTGTCTCCCTTGAGGACATCTCGATACCAGATGAAACATGACATTATTTACCATTAAAGTTTATTTTGACTTTTCATCATCCATACTTGTAAGTTCTATATTGCACACTTGGACCATGTTTTAATGTTATCCACCGATTTTTGAGGTATTATTTTCCTGCTTGGCTGTAATCGGCCTTATTTCTGTATTGTCAAGCACAACTTCAGGAACCGGGTGTAAAACGTCTCTCATCCTAAGAGCAAGGCACAGATTCATGGTGTCGACGTCGGTCTTCTGGATCGTAACGCTCTGACTACAGTGGCAGTACGTTCCTCCGAAACGTTGGCATCTACCTACAAGACCACACGGCGTCACAACCGAGGAGACCTTCTAGGAGGCGTGGCTGTACGGATAACACAAAGAATATGTGCATGCTTCGAGAGAAGTTGCCATCAAACAGAATGGCGGGCCGTGACGTAGCGCGCTGATCTAAGCAAAATGGCCCCATGGATAACTTTCAAAAGGAAAAAGAAACATTCCAGACAATGCATTCCTGGGAAAGAATAGCCAATCGGAAAACAAGCACAGGCGACTGTTATCCTGCATAACGCTAAAATCCAACAATGCTTCTCAAACGTGTTGGGCCATAATGACCGGAGAGGCGTTACACATTGTGAGCACATATTCTATCTAGTACCTGGGCAGGCAGGCAAGCGTAAACAGTAGAACAGACGAGCGGGGACTGGTGGTCAGTGAACTCACAGCCTTGACCTGAGCAAAACAAGTCCTCACAAACACTCAATTAGGTCCTACCATCACACGTGAGCCGCCAATGTCTGTCCCCCACCAGGGTCACATAGCCACTTAGCGGGCGTTGTCACTAAGATAAGCTCCATATAGCGGAGTTCCTTCTGAAAAACTGATGGTCGCTCAGCTGGACATACCCCGCCTTCTATGAAATCAATTTGATTACAAGATCCTATCCTGAGCCAGACGTATCTATTCCACATTCTCATACCTCATTTTTTAAAATTATTTTAATATCCTCTCAGTGTTCCCACTAAAATGCTGTACGCATCTCTTATGTGTACTATATGTCCTGATAAACCCAATAATTTTTTTATTAACGGTACAAATTACACAGCTAATTATTATGCAACTGTCTCAATCCTCTGCTGCTTCCGCCCTCTCAGTTCGAAATATTTTCCTCAGTACCCTAATCTCATATACCCTCCATCCACATTCTTCACGTAGGATCACAGACCAAGTTTAACACCCATGCAAAACAACAGGTTGTGACGTTACATTACATTTTAGACAGAAGACAGTTTTACCTGTGTTGCGGGTTCTGATGTTGAGAAAAGAACGCCGATTGGGAGTGTGTGAAAACAAGAAGCTAAGGAGGACATCTGGACCCAAGAGGGGTGAAGTGGCTCGAGAATTTAAATCTCAGTTCCATAAGAACAGAACCGGTGATGGGAGCAAACGCATAATAAATATAACCTTCATTATATATTATTTGGATGATCACATCTACAATAATCATATAATGTTTTATTATATCTTCGTTGTTACCTTTCTGTATTTATTATCGTGTTCCTGTGTTATTCTCTTGTGCTGTATCTGTAATTGGCCTTCTGCCTGTTGACGCAGCAACAACAACAACAACAACAACAAAGAATTCAACTGGGTCGAAATCAAGGAAAGTGGGGCAAATCGGGCATGTAGCACGCATAAATGATACAGAATTTTGATTGAAAAACATATAAAGATGAAAGACCACTTGAGGCTCTTAGGAGTCAATCAGAGAATAATATTAAAATGAACGTCAGGAAGTTGGATTTTATGGTGTGAATTAGATTCATCTGATACGGGAAAGGATCCAGTAACAAGATCTTACAAACACAACGGAAATTTCTTGACTAGCTAGGCAACTGTCGGCTTCCGATGGAGCTAATAATTTTTATTTTCTTACTTTCAAGTACCCTGTTCGTCACTAATTGCCCCGACAGACGAAATATATGTTTTTTTTTAATCTCATGATCTCACCATTCCGTATTCAATAATTCTGCAGCAGGATATCGAGGCTGAAAAGAGAAAATTAAAATCCGGTTCGTTTCCGTCAGCTGTCGATGCCCCATATCCAATTATTTACCTGTCACGTCACTGAACACAAAGAAACTGTTGCCTCAAAGTAGAAAGTGTCCAAGTCACCCTTGAACCGCCGTTTGCAGAAGCCAAAGCCTCGTCAGATTGGCAGAAATTCGTAACTTTCGCGGCGAACAGTACCCCGGAATTTTAGTTCGAAAACTGAGATGCATCAACTAACCAACATCACGAAGTAAGATCCTATTTGATAAGCTGACAGTCGCTCGGATGCGAAATAAATCCCACGCTTTTCATAGAAGCTGAAGACTCATTATCGTCTTTACAAGAGCTCGCCACTGGACCCCGGCCTCAACGGATCTAATTTAATTCATTCACCATTCAGGATTGTGTGCATTGGTGGTTAGCAGGATTCACGACCCATCAGTACATGGGTTCGATCGGGACCGCGACATTTAACGCTCTTGCTGTGACCCCCTTTTGCGAAATGATGATGAAAGTGGAGTAATTGTTGGGATGCCACGGAGAAACCGGGGAAGCCCCCGGAGAAAAACTCCGTGATGCCTAGACCACGGCCTTGCCCAACACAAGTTATAAATTCGGGCACCGCCGGGAATCGAACCCGAGACCCCAGGATTACAAGGCCAGCGTTCTAACCGCTAGACCACCGTGGCGGTTATTCGCTCCCTCACTCGCTATTTCTTGAAGACACACAAAAATGTTACCCTCTCATCAGCGTCTCTTGCTTTCAGGTTTTCTGTGGAAAAATTTGAAATGCATTTATCATCTCTCCCATTCATGCCACAATGCTCTGCCCATCTCATCATCAATGACCTGGCGAAAAAAAATCATGATTCATCTCATCATCCTATTACTTCCCGATTCCAAATTTCCATCAGCGCCCTGTTCTCAAACACTCTCAGTCTGTGTTCTTCTCTTAAAGAGACGAAAACACCAGGTTACATTATAGTCCAGTGAGTCAATTAGTCTATTAGACACAATTAAAGCTATAATTAATCTATAAAGTCACAGTTATCACTGATATAAATTGTCATAATTAGAGTTATAATTATAGCAATAGTCAGTCGTAGTTATAGTCTATAAAATCACAGTTATAGTTATTCTGTACAGACATCAGTCTACATAGACAAACTTATATAGTTAGTCTATGTAGACATAATTACAGTCAGTCTATACAGTCGAGTTACAATTCTATTTTAAGCTTTGTTTTTAGACAGACAGGCAGACAAAAGATGGCAGTAAGCAATCCCCCCAATGTATTCTTTCTTAACTTTTTCATAAACTTCATTTTATTTGCTACTGTAATTTCCGAATATGTTAACTCTGTCGCATTTTCAAACTTTTGATATTATCTATCTTTATATTATGATTTTGTCCTGCATTCTGGTAATAAGACACGAACATGTAAGTTAATTTAAATTAATGCTCGTGACTAAACATAATTAGAGGAATCAAAATTAAAGAGGATGAGATGGGTGGATCATGTAACACGCGAGGGACAGATCAAATTATTCCAAATTTAAATCTGATGACTTACAGGGAAGACACCAGCTGCCCCAAGCATGTATTAGAAGAATGTTTTCCATTTTCTTCCATAGAATTTAATAGTATTGTTTTGTAATTTCTCTCTTCTTGCTGCAAAATAATTCTGTCAGGCCGCGTCGATGTTCAGATATTATTAACATAATTGAGGTTATATTACTCTCTCTAGACCTAATGCGATTTCAAATATAACCGCATGGCATACAGACCTTCTTGACAAGCTGACAGTAACTAACCCGATCACAAAATTCCCTACCGTTTATAAAGGAGCCCGAAGGTTCATTATCGTGTTCACAGGAGCCCGCCCAACACCCCAATCGAGCCAGATGATCCAGTCATCCTCCCATCCTATTTAGGATAAATTTTAATATCTTCCCCGACCAACACGTTGTCCCTTCCCATCATGTTTTCCGACTAAAATGTGAATTTCTCACCTCTCCCATGCGTATTACATGTCCACACCAAACGCAGGGTTCAAGCAGTTGACACGTCTGCTTCGTATTCGAAAACTGGGTGTTCTGATTTTCTGTGGGATTCCTCAGTCCGGCCAGCAAAGTGCTCGTATGGCATAGTACATTATTTTAAGCCACGGCCGCTTCCTTCCACATAATTTACAACATTATTCACTATGCGGCCCATCATTGTGTTATATAATTTGAGTTACTGACAGCGTCCGTAAATAAATCACAAATAAATAAAATACACGCCCAACCCGTCTCATACTCCCTGACTTCATTAAACTTCATGAAAACCCACACAAAATGCCAAGTGCCGAACACGTACTTCAACAAGGTACTTATTTTCAAGTTCCTAGTCTGGAAACATTTTATTTCACCTGGATACAGACCAGCATACTTGTCGTGAGGCACCTGGTACCATCACAGCTAACACGCAACACTGCACAAACCGGAGGTATACTTATCTAAGAACAAAATCCTATCAGTAAATTAAGTAGAAGATACGTAAAATCAAACATTTACTCACGTTCGTCTTCAAGGTCAGAGTCGATAAGTTGTTCACACAAAATCCATAGGTTCAATAACTTTTATCACTACATCAACCTCACATCTCTTTTCTATACGCCCGGCACCTGTGGCAAGCTAACCACCAAACGTACTTGCGTGTCAAGGTACAGCTATGTACAATGCCTCCGGTCATAGAACGAAACGTTGCACTTACCCGACATCTAGTGACCATTGGCTGAACAACAAGTACTCTCGTTTCCAAATTCTTACAGTAGATGTCTCTCATCGTCCTGGCTCTTCGATTATTTATATATATATTATAATTCTAGGAAATTTTCTTTTCGTTCTGAATCTGATTAATAGTCCAATTATGTGGGTTTTACAGTGATTGTGAAAAATTTCGGGAAGTTACGCTTGAAAAATACATCCTTATGTGCCATTAGGATAGTTCTTAATTGGATCAGACGTTACTTAACGATATTATATCAACTGATACGGCTGGAACTACATAGAGCGGAGTCCTAGTTGAGCTAGTAAAAATAACCACCCCCTTTACAGAACCCTAGGGTTCATTAGCGTATTCACAAGAGCTCACTACCGACCCCTGTCCTGTTCCAGATTAATCCAATAAAATAAAGCTGTCCCACTATACGCCTTACAGGCGCTTCAGAGGAGAGGTGTATAGCTCCTACACATTATTAACCTCGGCACTATATAGGGATGAGTGATTAGCGTCACTCCTCGATTAATCCAGTACACATTTTATTTTTCTAAAATCCATATTACTTTCTTCCTCCTGGTAATGCAGAATGTGGAGAAAAATACCAGGGAATTATTCCCCAACCTCTGAAATCTATGTATGATAAAGTGAATAAACATATCATATCTTCCTCTTATCTTCGCCTAGATCTTCTGGGAGACTGAGAAGAACCAGGTTTCGATCAGAAGAGTCGGTAGCCCCCCCCGGTCGAGATTTTAACCGAATTACTATCAAGCAGTCTGGTACATTAGTGCTGTAGAATTGTTTTTAATAACGGTAGAGAAAAGAAAGTGTTATTAGGATGATCAAATTAAGGAGGATGGCATGGACAGGACATGTAGCTCGTTTGCGGAAGATTCAAACTGCACACAGATATAAACTTGAAAATCTACGTGGAAGATACCACTTGACAGGCTTTGGATTTGATATAAGGATAATATTAAAATAGATCATAAATCTGCGGACTGCATTAATCTAACTTAGCTTTTGTGTGCATAAAATTCGGAAAACTCTTTGCCAGCTGAGCAACTATCAGTTTGTCAGAATGCCTGCAATTTTTTTCAGTCTCCGAGATACAAATATGCATCGCCCGTCGTGTTACGTATTTAACGAAAGTTCACCTGAAGAAGTTGACAATGAAACTTACAGTCGTGAGGCGGCACTACGTGTCTATTCATGGTTCTGCTTCGTCAGGACAGGATTAGCAGCTGTTATATTCGAAGTTCTAACTTAAAACAGGTATAGCCACACGTTGGGTAATCTGTTGAAATAACAGTGGTACAGACTGGTGATTATTGGTGATTATTTTGTCTTGGGCCATGATAAAACGCTGTATTTTTTAAGTTCTCAGTTCGAAGAACAACATTAAATGCGTACAATCTGAAAATATCCAGTTCTATGACTAATTCCATGAAAACAATTTCCTGTTATACAATGTTCCTATTACAGAGTGGCCGAGGATACGAAGAATAAATTACTAATGTGGTCTTCCCAGAAGACACCGAATTTATACTGATTTCATATAGCCTAAATGTAAAATATAAGATTTTTACAATTATGTTTTCATGTTATTAAACATTGTGTGTATAAGCGTACTATATAGAAACTGTACCATTTAAAATGCAACCCAAAAACAATCACGTATTAAGATACAAAAATCACATCAGAATCAGGTCATGAAATAGACTCTCCCAAATTCCTCTGAGATAATCTGTCATCATTGAATAGTTGTTATGATTATTGTGATTATTCCAATTCTTATTAATGTTTGTTCATATTGGTGGAATCATTTAATTAATTTAATCTTAAAATTAATAATAAAGGATCTGGTGATAATCTTCTGTGGAAGAATGCTCAAAAAAATGAAATGAAGAAGAATACATCCTTCTTACTAGGCCGCTGCTCAGACCAGATGCGCAAAAACATCACTCCGCAACACAATGATCTGTTGCTGTTTGTGAATAATTTAGCAATGCGTATCTGAACAAGGCAGAACCGAATAAAACAACAGACTGATAACATTTCGGGGCGAAGGAATTGTTTGTATATCTTCGATAAGATGGTGGACATACGATGAATTTCTCCAACAAAACATTTAAATAAACTTGTTAAAGTGATGTCACCAAAAGTTACAAATACATGGTTATTTTTTAAACGGGACACTCTGCATTAAACAAGACTGCCCCACCCCCGACATAGTGTATGTCTGTCCGTCATGCTCTGTATATTCTGTACAGTGCATCCGACAACGAGATTAAGAAACTGCTCCCGTCTTTCAAGCACCGCATACCACAACCACAACAAAGTCCTTTTTCGTTTCCAGACTTCGTTACAGAACTTGTTATTGGTAAAACTCAAGGACAAAATAACAGTAGAATATCTCGTAAGCCTTTGTTTTCCCTCAAAGAACGAAAGAAGTGTAGATACAGACCTCATTAAGATATAACGTGTGTCTGAAAGTTAAATTAGACTGTGAAGTGTTACATCTGAATTTCCTATAAATTAATATCAGAGTAAGTGTCTAGTACGAAAATAAAATATGGTAAATTTTATAAAAATCTACTTCGGAATGGAGTGTCTGTTTACTGCCGTGTTTCAACTCGTCATTTTTTCAGAAAAAGCGAAAATCCTGGAATCAAGTCTGATTTTTTTTCTCATGCCGCCCCGAGACCAGCCGCATTCTTTGTTTCTTATTCCAGGAATTTTCCTTGACCATTTGCTGTTAATTCATTTCACCGACGATGATACTGAAACCCTGACATATGACGCTGGACGTACACAACTGCGTCAAATGTGATGCGTCACACGGCGAAAGGCTTGCGTACAGCAAAATAACTGGCACGTCTTATACAAAACTAGTTTCACTTCAACTGTATGCAAGCCGAGGCAAGCGGGATAATTTAATAAAAATATAAAACAAAAATTCAAATATTTGCAAATACCCAGTGTTGAGAGTTTCTTACCAAGGAAGATTTATTCATATGTTATTAAATGACGCTACGCTATATCAGCTCCAGAAGTTAGTGTCGAATGATATACATAGTTGAGCGTAAATAATGAGTGCGTAAGGATTTGGAAAAAACTTGTCGTGGCCTATTTCAAGACATTCGGACATTCGTGTCGGGGGGATGAGGAATGCCACGAACATTTTCGATAGTGGTTACCGATAACCAGGCCAAGATGGAATCGGGGGACTCAGACAGCAGAGTGCCTGCTTATCGGCTCAACGACCCGGGTTTGATTCCGGTAGGGGAATGTATTTCCATTTCTATCCAGTGCAGAGGGTAAAGAAATATGTGTAGCTATTCCTCTACTCCTTCATACGCCTACGTGGCATGGTGATTGATTAATTAAGCACCAAGGCGACTGACTGTACATTTTATTTCCCAAATATAAGTCTAGATATTAAACCAACCTCAAATCTAAAAGTTCGTGACGATGGTGAGTTATTTGAATAAAAATATTCAAGGAAAGTTGTATTCAATTAAACCAACCTACTGGACGACAAGAAAGATACGTATTTTAACTCGCGATCTTCCCATCCATAAATTTAGAAATGTAGGTAAGTTGAAAAATAAGTACAGGTAAGATTTGGTTTACGCCGGGGTTAGGTTCATGAGATTTCCGGCGTAAAATGAAGTGGCGTAAATTGAAGCAAAAATATAATGGGAAAACATGTAAATACATTATGTTCCGTTCCAAGAGTTTCAGTAATCAACACAAAATACTTGAAAAATGTTTTATTTTATGAAATTTAAGTATTGAAAATTGTATAATGATTAAGATAATAATTTTTTAGAAAACGAAAAAAAATTTACTGCTTTAAAAACGTTAGAATAGATGTCTGTTTGGTTTTCTTCTTTTCTGATAATAAGTTATAGTATGTCTGTAGAACTGTCTCAATTCCTCCCTAAACAGTTGAGCTCCGCTCCCAGTTGGGGTCGTTGCTACAGAAGATCTCACATCCCTTATTAATAAGAGCAATAGCCTCTTTTGATTTCACTGTCAGTGTCCTAACCGACATTGCAGATCCAGCTTCACTTTCATCTGCGTCTTCTTTGGACAGTTATTCAGCTAGCCCTTCTAAATCTTCCGTTGAAAGCTTTGTAGTTAATGTAATTTGCTTTTTCTCGTCGCATTTTATATTCGATTTTTTGTTTAATTATATAAATTTTAGGCCGTAGTTTATCATTTAGCACTATAGTTTTATTACAATGTCGGGACCATCTGTGTGTAGGAAGTCGGGCAGAATCATGACTCATCACCCCCTCCAATCGTGATCTATGAGAGACGCAAAAGTGAAGCGGCGTAAACCGAGTCCTACCTGTATAGTCGCATTCTTCACATGAATGAAAAGTTAACTAAAATGTTTGTTAATCGAAACATTCGCCTAATATAAATGTTTACTCAGTGTAATATCAATTTCATTGTCATTATTTGGCTTGACGCTCGGGCAGGGTTTAGATTTTTTAAAAAATAAAATTTCTCAACACCATCGGAGTGCTGAAGGGGCTCGAAGTGACCCGTGCGGTCCCCCTGTCAATTTATGTCGAATTACCCGAGTACTTTGTTATCGACACAGAAAATATCAAACAAGGAAGAAAGAAAGACAGGGATAGAGAAAAAAGATTGAAAAATAAATATATCTTAAAAGTGAAATGTACTTAGAATACGTAATGAGTTCTTCGTCTTTGTCTCTCAGTATATCCTCCTGCAATCTGCATGGCGATACACGTAAATGTCCGCTTCATCAAGTAACGCCTGCGGCAGTAGATGTAACTCTTCACAGTTCTGCCGTAGGGGTTGCAGAGCCGGCTCGGGGTAACGAAGCAACTGCGTGTAATCAGATCTGTGGAGTCTAGTAGAAAAGTGAACAAAAATTGTCGCTTTGTGA